GGCCGCCCCACAGAGCCCCCCCATCCGACCCTACAAAACCCCACAGATGACCCCCAAGCGGCCCCACAGCTCCGTGCCAGCAACCACTCACCCCACAGATCCCAACCTGACAGATCCCACAGACGGACACCTGCCGGCCCCATAGATCCAACCCTATGGACCCCATAGATCCCACCAAGAGAGAAGGGAACAATCACCCCACACGTTCCAGTCCTCGGCCCCATAGATGGGCACCCGTAGGCCCCATAGATCCGACCCCGTGGGCCCCATAGATCTGACCCCGTGGGCCCCATAGATCCGACCCCATGGGCCCCATAGATCTGACCCCATGGGCCCCATAGATCCGACCCCATGGGCCCCATAGATCCGACCCTGTGGGCCCCATAGATCAGACCCCATGGGCCCCATAGATCTGACCCTGTGGGCCCCATAGATCCAATCCCGTGAGCCCCATAGATCCGACCCCATGCACCCCATAGATCCAACCCCATGGACCCCATAGATCCGACCCTGTGGGCCCCATAGATCAGACCCCATGGGCCCCATAGATCCGACCCCGTGGGCCCCATAGATCTGACCCCATGCACCCCATAGGTCCAACCCTCTGGGCCCCATAGATCCGACCCCATGGGCCCCATAGATCCGACCCCGTGGGCCCCATAGATCAGACCCCATGGGCCCCACAGATCCAACCCTATGGGCCCCAACCCTATGGACCCCATAGATCCGACCCCATGGGACCCATAGATCTGACCCTATGGGCCCCATAGATCTGACCCCATGGGCCCCATAGATCCGGCCCCGTGGCCCCATAGATCCAAACCCGTGAGCCCCATAGATCCGACCCCATGGGCCCCATAGATCCAACCCCATGGGCACCAACCCTATGGACCCCATAAATCCAACCCCATGGGCCCCAGAAATCCAACCCTATGGGCCCCACAGATCCACACGAACACCCCACAGACCCCACAGCCCCATAGGAACACTCACTCACCCCATGGGCCCCACAGATCCATAGGAACACCCCACAGACCCCACAGCCCCATAGGAACACTCACTCACCCCATGGGCCCCATAGACCCACAGGAACACTCAACCCCACAGCTCCCACCCCACAGACCCCAAAGCCCCATAGGAACACTCACTCACCCCACATCTCCAACCCCACGGACCCCACAGACCCACAGGAACACTCACTCACCCCATGGGCCCCATAGATCCATAGGAACACCCCACATCTCTCACCCCATGGGCCCCATAGATCCCCCCAGACCCTCATCCCCCCCAACCAGCAGCTCACCTGTGGGGCGGGCGCCGTGGGGCCGCACCGTCGGCGTTGGGGCCGCG